TATTCGATTCTGTTGAAATTTCTCGAAAACGAAGCGAGATACGAAAAAAATACAAGAGGCAAAGAAGTTGTAGTTTTAGATGCTTAATAAAACAACAGATATTAAATTTACAAAAAGGCAATGACATAAATTTGTTTGTCTATAATATTCGCTAAGGTGCCCTCTGGGATGCCACTAGACCTAATACTTTTAATCGATTTTGAACTAAATTAGTCTCTTAATACAAAAACTAATAAATAAATAATATTTTTCAAGATCTTAATAAAAAAAATTAAATTTATCACCCTGTATCTTGAAAACCCTGCAGTTGGACCCATGTTTATATATATATATTTTTTAACCTCGAAAATATCTCCGTCTATTTTTCAAACACCCTGTATATTTAAATTTTCATTTCATTTTCCGAACAGCTATACAGGGTGTAAACGTTACGGTAGTCATTATCAAAACAAGTCAAAAAGTTCATATGACCCATGGTCCAAAAGTCAATAGATTTTTGTCTAAATGGCTTTATAGTTTACAAATTTAAGTGCTTTATATCGACCACAATCACCAGAATCTTACTAATTTTTATAATCTAATCTAAAACGTTTTTAAACAGGGGTAATTAACAAATAAATGGCATTAAGTTTTTCTAAGTTCAGCCAAAATGTGTAGTCAGTAAGTTTCATTAAATTAAATATTTAAAACACACATGACAACAGCGCGTCGGACATTCATCACTCTTATCGAATCGGCAATCAATCGCAAACGGTAACAGTGGTTAGTTATCGTTTTGCATAGATAAATTACTTTATCGTTTTGTCGAACAGAGCATCGGTCGTGTTATTTTGTTTTTGTTCGCGTACGTCGTCGTGTTTATTTACAATGTTCTCGAATCAAGAGTTCGTCGACATGTTAGTCAGAATGCAAATCTTGCAGGTCAAATTTATCGCAACAGATTTCGTCAACGGGTACACCCAGACAGAAGGACATTTGTGCAAGTGTACCAAAGACTTCGAGATACAGGAAGTGTTCAGCCCACTAATATTCGCACTCGTGAAAGACACGTTACTGTAGAGCAGGAGGAACAAATTTTAAATATCGTGGAAATCAATGCAGATATCAGCACTGGGGAATTAGGCCGCCGCGTAGGACTATCGCATATCCATAGAATCCTACGGGAAAATTTGCTTTATCTCTACCATGTAAAACGAGTGCAGGCCTTGTTACCAGAAGACTATCCTCGCAGACTAACATTCTGTCAGTGGTTTTTGCACAAAAACATTGAAAATCCGGATTTTTTAAAAACAATCTAGCGACGGACGAATGTACCTTTACGCGAGACAGGATATTAAATTTCCATAATACTCATACGTGGGCCCAAGAAAATCCTCATATCATTCGCGAAGGCCATTTCCAACAACGTTTTAAAATAAATATTTGGGCGGGTATTCTTGGCGTTCAGGTAATTGGCCCTTTCGAATTACCCCCAAAGTTGTCAAGAGAAAGAGTCAAAGTGTCAAAGCAGTATAATTTTGGAGGATGCTGGTAACACATTAAGTAATACTCAGGATATAGTCAATAAATTCAATAACTATTTTAAAGATACTCCGTTAAACATTGTAAATAATATAAATCGAGCAAATATTGACTTGATCTCTTCGAAATTGAAAAACAAACATTCCTCCGGACCAGATGGTATTCCGGGATTTCTTGTAAAAAAAAGTACTAAAATATATAGTGAAACCATTTGTATTTCTAGTAAATCTCTCCTATTGCACGGGAAGGTTTCCCCAATCCTTAAAAACTGGGAAGGTAATCCCAGTTCTTAAAAAAGGAGATCCTTCAAAGATTTCCAATTACAGACCAATAACAGTTCCTTTCTGCTTCTCCAAAATCTTTGAGTACTGCTTTCTAGATGGATTGTTGCGATTCCTAGAATCTGAAAATACTTTGTCAATTAACCAACGGAAAATCGACACACACGGCCTTGCTGAGTTTCATTCAGAATATTATAGCATCGTTTGAGGCAGGCGAATGTCCTGTTGGGATATTTTGTGATCTCAGCAGGGCATTTGACAGTGTCAATCATGAGATACTTCTGGGCAGACTGGTTCAAGTCTTTTGGAACAGACGTTCGACAACATGCCATTACAACGGAGACAGAATTTGTGGTTTCTTCATGACGGGGAACCACCACACATTTTTAGAGGCATTTTTCTGATACAAAAATTAAGAAAATCGTAAATACTATTAAGTACGAAAAACTTGAACGAGAACTTGCTGGCTGCTATTGGAATTTTGGTGAGAATATGGAAAAAATATATGACAACATAATAGGAAATATAAAAACTTGTTTAGATCTTGCAACTGATAAAAAAGTGATTTGCTCGACAAAAAATACACCCTGGTATAACAAGAATATTAAGGCAGCTCAAAATTTGATAAATAAATGTATATTCACAAAATCAAATGATGATTGGGAGGTATATAAAACTCTTAGGAATAAATGTGTATATGTAATTAGAGAAGAAAAACGGAAATTCTACGATAAACAAATCGATAATAACAAATGCGACAGTGTAAAGATGTGGAAGACTTTAAAAACACTGATCAATTCGAAGCCGCATGATTGTGTAAATCAAGTTCAATTCGAAAACGGTACCGAAACAAATTCTTTGGTGATTGCAAACAAACTAAATGAATATTTTGTGGAAAGTATTGTTGATATTGTAGGTACTGCCAATGCTGCACCTGACTATATGAAAATCAGTTTCCAGGGGGAAATGTTGCATACACTTTCAAAATTTCACAGCGTATCATTGAATTATCTAAGAAAAAAAGTAAACAGTTTAAAATCAAGTAACAACTGTGCCGAAATGACTACTAAAAACGTGCTGAAAAACTGTTTCGAAATTTTGGGATATCCTGTATTAAATTGGATCAATTGTTCACTGAAAATTTGAAATGGTCTACAATAACACCAGTTCCCAAAATAAAAAATTCTAAAAGATGCAGCGATATGAGACCAGTAAATGTGTTACCAGACATTGAAAAATTATTAGAGTCCATAGTGCATGACCAATTAATGCAGTTTATAGAAGAAAACAAAATTTTAGTGGAGGCGCAAGCAGGCTTTCGAAAAAAATATTCCACAGAAACAGCTTTCCAGTTGGTAACTGAGAATTGGAGAAGAGCCATAGACTCAGAAGAAGTTGTCATAGCAGTATTTTTGGATTTGAAGAGGGCATTTGAAACGATTGATAGAGATATTTTGTTAGGTAAATTGAAGGCATATGGTATAACAGGAAGTGTTTTAGATTGGTTTAGAAATTATTTGTCTAAAAGGATGCAAGTTACAAAAGTTAATGACACTATTTCATCAAAAATTGAAAATACGTTGGGTGTTCCACAGGGCAGTATCCTGGGACCACTTCTTTTTATTTTATACATAAATGATTTACCTGCCATAGTCAAAAAATGCAAAATTCAAATTTTCGCCGATGACACTATGATTTATATAAGTACTAAAAATATTCAGTCTGGTATCTCTTATATAAATGAAGACTTGAAGCTTGTCTCAAAATGGTTAGCATCTAACAGACTAAAATTAAATGCAAGTAAAACGAAAGCCTTGTTAATTGGAAAAAAACAATGTACAAATGTTCAACTGAATATTGATGGTGAAGATATTGAATTCGTAGAAAATTTTAAATACCTGGGAGTTTTTGTTGACTCTCGATTAATTTTTGATATTCATTATGAAAAAGTTATAAATATGATTAGTAGTAAAGTGGGATATTTATCGAGAGTTTCTGGATGTCTGAGTTCATATAGCAGAAAAATTATCTATAATACCATCATTCTTCCAAATTTCTTGTACTGTTCGACTATTCTATATTTAGCAAATAATTCCATTTTTGAAAGACTGCAAATTTTACAAAATAAGTGCATGAGAATAATACTAAATAAAGATAAATATACTCCAATTAGGCAAATGCTTAGCAAATTAAAATGGCTCAATTGTAAAAAATTTTATCAAATATCTTGTAATGATATTCATTTATAAAGTAAAAAATAATATATTTCCATCTCTTCTAACTAATTTAACATCATCAAATGTCGACCATCATTTACATAATACCAGAAATAAAGATGACTTCCATTTAATGACCAAAAAGTATAACATATGCTACAAATCTGTATTCGATCAAGGGTTGATTGAATATAATAAATTATACTCGGAGATAAAAAACCAGAAAACTTTGACAAAATTTAAAGTAAAATTGAGAAATCACTGGTTAAATCTACAATTATAGGTTGCCCAGTTTGGGGCCTCGGTTGGCCGCGTTGGTCAGAGTGTCGTGCTACTGATCAGCCGGTCGGCCGGGCCGCGAGTTCGAATCTCGCCTTCGCCATGGATGTTGTGACGTCGTGTGTTTGTCCATAATTAGAGAAATATAAGTAACACACATCTGTGGCAAATGGATAACTCCAATGCCAATTATATGTTAAAAAAAAAAAAAAGGTTGCCCAGCATTTACATCATACACCATATGGCTTGAATTTACTAGTTCTAAGTTGTTTACAATTGTTCTGTTTATGTAGCCAAATGTGCTAAATAAATCTTTCTACTACTACTACTATTCAGTATTTGAATGAACATTATCCAAATCGTTGGATCGGTCGAAATGCTCCTGATCCTCGAAAATGGTCAGCAAGATCTCCTGACCTCAATCCGATGGACTTCTGATATTGGGGAGAACTTAAAGAGATGGTTTATGGGACTGGTCCAATAACAACTGAAGCACAAACTCGCGAAAAAAATTTTAATGCGGCTGAAATAATAAATGGACATCTTCGATGACCTAGAGTCCTAGAGTAAGAAGAAACTGGGTTCGTCGTAATGAAGCTTGTGTGGAAACTGGAGGACGACATTTTGAACGCCTTCTTTAAATACAAAAAAAAGTGCAGTGTAGGTTTTAAAAAGAAAAACAATGTATGTATCAAAATTGTGTTCCCTATTTATAAGTGGATTTTTTTAATACGTTCAATAAACTTTCACACACCAGGTGAAGCTCCGAGACAGTTAGTGGTAAGTCCGTTTTTTTAATTGTTTGCATTTTACGAGTACATTATCAAATAAAGAAATAATACCTAACAGCCAAAAATAACTAACTCCATCTTCATTTACACTGCGTGCCGTCGTAATTTGCGTCTGGCATTTCGGCGTTGTCCGATTTTATTTTACTTTAAAGTCGCTTTTCTCTAAAAAAAATACCGTTTTGGCCCCCATGTTATATAAAACTTTTTGCTCCTTTTAACACCCTCTATCACCCATTTAAATAATGACTATCACAACGTATACGGGTTTGTTTTTAAAAATGTTTTTTTATTTTATCACTCCAATCACGTCAAGCTGTGATGATAAAAACGACATGACCTACCTTAGCTTTCAGATAATTGTTACAAAGCAGTGAATCTTGAAAGATTTCCCGAAAATCCGTCACCGATGTGACACCACAGCGCTCTGCGAGATGAAAGCCCTCAATAAGTCCGGCTAGACAAACGCCCTTGATCAGTTGTAAGACCAGGTAAACAACGCACGCATACCTGAAATCGCAAAAAGTGGAGTTAGTAATCGAAATAAGACTATAACTCCAGAGAACGACGAACTGTTAGTGATCTCAGTTCACGTTTAATCGCCCAGTCACAACGTGCCCGCTAGATGGCTGACGATTCTGGCTGTAAAGTAAATGTATTCTATTCGACATTGAATAAAACTAGATCGCCGTTACATCACTTATACTATGCTATGCCATCTGAAGGAGACCCCAGTAGTGAGAGGCTCAGGATTTTGGAAAGGATGGGTATCATGTAAAAAACCTATAAAACGTCAAAAAAACCTATGAGATGTCATCTTGCAGACTAGGTAGTTTTTAAGACGCAAACAGTCATTCCACATTTGCTCGCTAGGATCGTAGTAAACGTCCATCTAATGAGGAATCACTCAACTAAACCACACGCATTATTGGTTGCATACGTTTTGTGAGGCCAAATAGTCCTTGTCTGTAGTTTCTATCTTTGAAAAGAAAGTTGGTTGAATAGCAAGATCGCATCTGGATGATTATGTGTATTGGTCTGCATGTGTATAAAATCAGTGATATTTGATGTGTGAGAAAATCATTACTGAATATGCCGAATATGACGGGTTATTTATATGTTGTGCTTTCTGAAGAGAGGTTATGTTCAAAGTTATAAATTACGAAAAACTGATGAGAATTACGGGAAATCACCACCGCGCCCGCGTTGAGCGTAATTACTGTTAGCATGTATATGACTTGTAATTCGACAGTGTTCAGTGAATATACAGGGTGACTTTGAAGTTGAGTCATTAATTTTCAGATCAAGGAGTGTAACTCGAGCGCCCTACAATGCGTAAATTGCCTGAACTATAACAAGGTATACAAGAAGATTCTACCAGTTGATCATTCGGCTAATTTTCCAAACTGCCCTGTGTTTCTCAATTATGTTCAAACTCTAAAAGAAAGGGTGGATTATGGCTAACACTATAAAAAGTGTCTTGAAACTATGTCACTTAAATGTGCGTTCTCTAACAGCTCACTGTTCAATACAAGTTTGATGTTGTAGCAGTCACTGAAACATGGCTGCATTCCAGTATTGACAGCACTGTAGTCAATATACCTGGGTATAATTTCTTCCGTAAGGACCGTGGGAGCAGAGGGGGTGGAATCGGTCTCTATGTTAAATTAGATATTAGCACTAATGTTATCCCAGTTGAGCTCGATGACTTTATAAATCCTCTTGAAATGTTATGCTATAAATTTAAACTGCACGGGTCCAGTATGTTAATTGTTGTTATATATAGGCCACCACATTGCTCTGTACATCAAGCCATCCAGTGTTTAGAAAATCTTATCTCATTTTTCACTCCCCAATATGACAACATTATATTCTTGGGCGATATGAATGTCGACTTGCTTGCTCATAACAACATCCTCAGCAGCTGCTTTGATTCATTCAAGTCATTGATGAGCCTACACGTGTTACAGCCTTCAGTTCCACATTACTTGATCCAATATTTGTTAGTGACAATACTATCGTCAAAAGGTCAGGGACACTCAATGCAGACTCTATTAGTGATCATCGGCTCACATACTGTGATATTTCCGTTTGTTATAAAAAAATAGAGCCTAAATTTGTAACATATAGAAATCTTAATAGCATTAATATTCAAAGTTTTAAGACGCAGATTGCATCAATGCAGCTTAATGACATTTATTTCGTGAATGTTGTGGATATTAAAGTCTCTATTTTTACTGGCCGTCTTCTTTATCTATTCGATCTCTACGCACCGCTACGCACAGTACGTGTCACAAAACCTGCTGCACCCTGGCTCACTCCTAACTTGAAAATGATTTTTCAACTCAGAGATGAGGCATTCGCTGTCTATCAGCATAACAGATATGATCAGAATTGGGCCAGCTACAAAAATTTGAGAAATTATGCCCTTGCATCGCTTAGAAGAGAGAAAAAAGCATATATGCCACGTTTCCAGAATCTTAACTCTAGTCAAGCTTGGAAACACCTGAGGAGGATGAATGTGGTAGCCCAGAAACATGTTGCGAAACATCGTGATAAGCGTTTCAAATTCTTTCGCTTTTTTGTTTCCGATGCGATGAACCGATAAGGCGGATTATATCCGTTGTTGCCAAACACGAGCACATAATATTATTATTGAGACAGGGCGGTACTCAAACTTCTAAAGGGCTATAACTTTGTTACTTTAATTTTACCAGAAAAATGTTAAAGGAAAAAACATTTCTTTTGTTCAGATCTACTCACTGTTAAAATAAATGACTCAACTTCGAAGTTTTTTACTGTGCCCGAGAGGTGAACAATCGAAAATCCAAAAACTAAAAGTTGTGAGTAATTGATAAAACAAGCAAAAATTTCAACACAGCTTCAACAACGGACATATCGTATTATTAAAATTAAAAAAATCAACATTGATGGTGATTAACAAAATAGAGTTTTTAGCAAATATTTTAATTTTGAGGTAATATTACTAGAATACCTCAAAATTGAGTGGAAATGGACTTACGACTATTTACCTCTCAGCTACTGTAAAATTATTTCTTATCTCTCTCATTTTTAAGAAAAAGTGGATGCGCAACTAATTTCTAGCTTTGAATCTCAATTAAGTGTATTTGAGACAAGAACCCAATGTAATTATCATCAACACATACAACTAACAGCTTAGACCTCCAGTAATGCCATCTCAGAAGCAGATTTTACATCACATCAAAGCCAAAGATTGATAACAAGCCTCATGACATTTAGGCAACACATACAACTAAGAGCTAAGTTAACATCTTGTAGAAAAATCTACATAATGTTAAAAAAAACAGCATAATGTCAAAAAAAAATCGGCATAATGTCACTTTTCAAGATACGTGATACCCGTGCCGATTATGCTGAAAGGAGCTCCTATATACAGGGTAATTCAAAATAAAACATCATATACAGGGCCGCATTTGGGGGATCTTCTATAAAACATTTTTTCCTCTAGGGCTTCATTAAAAAGAACAGCGTTTTAAAGTTTGAAAATAAAAAACAGCACTGAACACCGCTCCCAATCGTCCCAGTTGTTGGCTACGGTATGTGGATGATACCTTCGTGGTATGCAGCCACGGAAGAACAGAACTAGCAGTGTTCCTAAATCACCTAAACAGCATTCACCCCAAAATCAAATTCACAATGGAGCTAGAATAGGACCATCAACTGGCCTTCCTAGACGTATTGGTGATCAGACGAGAGAACTTAAAGCTGGGTCACAGGGTTTACCGCAAAGCAACAAATATCTACACAAAGACTCCAACCATCATCCTGGGCAAAAAAGAGGTGTCATCAAAAATATGATAGACAGGGCACGTCGAATTTGTGAACCTCAATACCTGCAGGCGGAACTGGATCATGTTAACATGGTTTTACAAGCAAACGGCTATCGCAGCGAACAAATAGAACAGATTTCACGACAAAAAAGCAGACCGCTGGCAGGAGACAAGGAACCACCTGCGAGAGTCTCCTTCCTACCATTCATTAAAGGCATCACGGATAGAATAGGAAGGTTGCTGCAGAAACACAACGTGAAAACCGTCTATAAGCCGACAAATAAAATCCAGCAACTCCTAACATCAGTAAAGCACCCTAGGGACCCCCTGAGCGGTGATGGCGTAAAGAAAGTGTCGACTGTCGACTGGGACAAACTGATAAATCAGCGGTGGCCGAACACGCACTCCAAGACGGCCACAATGTTCTGTTAGACCAAAATGAACTCCTATCAACATCCACCCACTACTCAGCCCGAATGTACAGAGAAGCAATTGAAATCTATAAACACAATGATAATTTAAATAGAAAAGAAGCACGAAGCCGAGCACTTCGCTCTCGCCGACAGCGCCACTGAAGATGGCTACCGCAGATGTAGCCGAAATCTATAGACCAAATCCAACCCGACCACGGCTCAACAGCCCGAAAAACCTAAATTACAAATGGTTTAGAATAGAAAATAACTAAAATCTCTCATGCGCAAAATATCAATCAGATCGATAGAAATGAGAGGCGGTCAATACTTACCCAGCATCCCCCAGAAAAACAGAACTAGTTGAAAAAGCCTTGGTGCAGGACTGAATTGACTGGAACAACGCTTCATCTCCAGCTGCTAGCAATATGAACCGGTTATTGTCTAGGCTGCTCCACTGGATCAAAGTCTCCAAGTACCTACCGCCTTTCCTCTCGATCATATCTTTAATGTCTTTCGCAGTTTCTGGGCCCATACTCGTCATTATTATCATACCCTTATCTGGAAAGATATATCAATTTCCTCAATTATACAGGGCGTTCGAAAAATAGACGGAGATACAGGGAAATGAATTCAAAAAGAAAAATATTTATATGATTTTGTTGAAATTTGGCAGTATTAGGTATAGTGGCGACCCTTAGCGAATATTATTGGCAAAAAATGTACGTCACTGCCTTTTTCGTAACTTTAATATTTGTTGTTTGATTAAGCATCTAAAAATACAACTTCTTTGCCTCTTCCATTTTTTTCTTCTCACTTCGTTTTCGAGGAAAAAATAAAAAAAAAAACGATTTTTGCTAAAGAAATCACAAGTGCCCTGGAAAAGAAAAAATCATTTCTGCATGTAGGTTTGACTTTTGCGCGTCAGTTTTTCTAGAAAAATATTATTCAAATAATTTTGATTGCGAAATTTCTCTAAAAAGTTTTTGTCTCGGTTTTTGTGGGGGATAATTACACTTTTGAGGAAAGGGCAGACATGCACGTGCTTAAAGTAAATGTTATACAGCAAGGCGCCCCCGGGACGCCACTGGACCTAATAATTTCAAACTAATTAGGGCTAAATTAACCTCTTAATACAACAAATAAAATTGCCAAATTTCAACAGAATCGAGTAAATATTTTTTAAGATATTAATAAAAAAAATGTTTTTTAAATGTATCGAACTTTATGCTGAAAACTCATTTCCGCATTTCCGGACCCATGTTTATAGAAACTTTTTTTCATATTTCACCTCTAAAATGTCTCTGTATATTGTTCGAACATCCTGTATCTGTATTAGTCCAGGATAAAAATCGGGAAATATAGGGGATTCATATGAGTTCTCTTTCAATGTACGAATTTCAACAAACAAAAAAATAGCAAAAATTAAAAAATGAATGTCTATTTTTCTTGGCAGAAAACACCTGAATGGCAACTATAAGTACAGACCAAGCTTACCTTGCAACGTCTTTTCTTCTGGATCATGCATATTGAAATTGTTCTGAAAAAATATCTTCAGTTCGTCCTCATCAGATATACAAATGAATATCGTGTCAGAGTTCAACAAAAGAGACCGAGGTGTATCATGAATTGTAAGCTTGATATTGTGGTCCAGATCCTTTCTCAATGCATTTGACTTTTGAGCTGTTCTATTCCATACATTCACTGTGTGACCAGTCTTAACGAGTTTTCCAGCAATTCCCCTTCCTGAAATTAAGAAGTCATTTGAATTTCCTCAGCTTTTAATATCCTAAGAACGGGAATAGGGCGGCATTTAGATTTTGTTTGTTTGTTGAACATTTATTTTGTATAATTATTCATTTACACATTTTTTTAATCACTTTTCTCTAATTTTACATTATTGTTTATTGAAATTAAATTACTGCATTTTTTGTATTGTGTGATTTCTTGATTTCACCTGAATCTGTTCAAGTGAAGTACAAGAAATTTGTAAGAATGATGGTATTATATATAATTTTTCTGCTATATAAACTCAGACATCCAGAAATTCGTGATAAATATCCCACTTTACTACTAATCTTATTTATAACTTTTACATTATGAATATCAAAAATTAATCGAGAGTCAACAAAAACTCCCAGGTATTTAAAATTTTCTATGAATTCAATATCTTTACCATCAATATTCAGCTGAACATTTGTACATTGTTTTTTTCCAATTAACATAGCTTTCATTTTACTTGTATTTAATTTTAGTCTGTTAGATGCTAACCATTTTGAGACAAGTTTCAAGTCTTCATTTATATAAGAGATATCAGTCTGAATATTTTTAGTACTTACATAAAATCATAGTGTCATCAGTGAAAATCTGAATTTTGCATTTTTTGACTATGGCAGGTAAATCATTTATGAATAAAATAAAAAGAAGTGGTCCCAGGATACTGCCCTGTGGAACACCCAACGTATTTTCAATTTTTGATGAAATAGCGTCATTAACTTTTGTACCCTGCATCCTTTTAGACAAATAATTTCTAAACCAATCTAAAACACTTCCTGATATACCATATGCCTTCAATTTACCTAACAAAATATCTCTATCAATCGTTTTAAATGCCTTCTTCAAATCCAAAAATACTGCTATGAATTTGTTAAAGAATCAAATAAATGCATATTATTACTCCACCTATATTTCCTATGCCAATAACGCCTATTTTCAGCTGTGATACTGGAATATTTCCAGTTTCTAATGTATCACACCATATTTCTTTGTGTTTAGTTGGTCTGTCTTCTTCAAGTGGATCCGTATGGTCTCTTGTTCTCTTTTGCGACTTTGATCTTGGTTTTTTCTTGACGAAACTCTCTATTACTATTTCGTATTCAGGATTACTTTCTACGATCTGCATATGGGTTTCTACTTCTTTTACTGCGTTTAGGAACAACCTTGTCCTTTTGTGCGTGGCATATTGGCTATAATGTTTTCTGAAGGACTTGACTTGTTTTTCTGGGACCCAGGCATAATCACGAGACCCAAAAAAGTAAATCTGTAGACAAATAAAAAAAATAAATATACTAGGTAACAGGTAATTAATCGTATTCCGCAACATTTTAAAGCAAATTGATTCTTAAATCAAAACGTCACATTGTAAACACTTTTTTGTTTTCATGGCCTGCGATTGTTTTCTTTTAAATATCGTGTCCGAACATTTTTGTGACGGCAGAATGTTGCGTTATTATCAATATTAGTTTGATTTTATTTTCAATATCATTTTACTTGAAAACCGTTTTGATAATATGATGTGCAAACAATATACAAAAATAAAGAAACTTTTAGATAAAATTAGATAATGTCTGAGCATTTATGCGTTAGGGATCGTATAGGTATGCATATTATTTTTGTATTAATATGTTGATTTTCTTTACATATCAATTCTAAAATAGTGAGTGAGATTATCAATAGGTTTGTCGTGACAAAAACAAAGACAAATTAAGACAGTGTTGCAAGACCTAGATTGGAAAATGGCTAAAAACAATGAAATATTTTGTTATTTTTAGACAATGCGGGATCTCATCCAAATGACATTCGCTTAAATAACATACATGTACATCACCTTGTTGACCACTTGACGAAGGGATTATACAGACTTTTAAAACTTAAACTTTTGTAACCAAAGAAACTGTGCAAAATTGCTTCCAAAAAGCAGGATTAAGTATGAAAATATGCAAAGTGAAGATCAGTTAAATGAGGCTGATACTCCTGCCCCAGAAGGTGACTTAACACTTAATGTACTTATAGATATCCTCATAAATAAAAATTTATTGAAACTGACTGATAATGAAAACTTTTATGATTTTTTGAACCTAGATGACAGTTTGTATGTTGAAGATCCAGATTAAGGACAAAGAATTGAAAATCCAGTTGAAATACAAGAACTTTCCCAAAGATTCTGATGTTGATGACGTTCCAGTACTAACAGAAGCTATTCCAAAGCTAGTACCCTGACCAAGCAGCTCAAAGATTTTGTCAAAAATCAGGGAATTACAGCTTCTTTCTATATTAAAAATTCAATTTCAAGATGCTGCTTTAAAGAAAAAGCGTAGATAAATGACAATATATGAAATTTGCATCCTTAAAGAAACTTTTTATTTCAATGTTTTGTGTTACATTCATATACATATCTATGTAGATAGTTTATATACAGTAAAGGACAAAAGTATATAGACAAATTAATATTGTGCTGTATTTCTTTTTTAACTTGTTTTATTAATACACCAACCTGTATACATAATTCGTTATAGCATAATACTCACTTATACATAAATAAATTCATTAGACTCCCTTCAATAAAAAATTAATTGAAAAGAACTGAAACTATGAAGGACAAAAATATATAGACAAAGCAATACAATTATAGAAAAAAGAAGCAAAGTTCATTGAATTATAGAAAACCAACCATGTTTGTGTTAATATTTTGTAGCATAACCATTATTATCAATCACTGCCTGCCTGCGAGACTAGAAGTGTGCTTCGGGTCATTATCTTGCTGTAAGATTGATCTTAAGGGCATATTGTCGTCCAGTATGTCTGTGTATACAAACTTATCCATAATGCCATCTATTCTATGTAAAGGTCCCATCCCAAACCCCGAAAAGCACACGCAAACCATAACAGACTCGCCTCCATGTTTGACAGTGGGCAAAGTGTACTTGGGGTTCAATCTTTGTCCACTGACATCTAACATAATGAACACCATCTGATCCAAACATATTGAACTTGGATTCGTCACTGAAACATACCCTCTTCCAGTCACAGATGATCCAATCAAGATGCAACCGTGCAAATTGTAATCGGTCCTTACGGTTTTTCTTCCAGATTAGCGGCTTCTAACTCGGGCGACGTGCACATAACTTCAAATCATTTAATCTTCTACTTATAGTTTTCGTAGAAAGACTGACAATACCTTTTGTCTCGATTTCGGCTTTTATTTGTTTGGGTTTTAAACGGATCTTTGGACGAAATTACTTTTATTAATCTAACTGATCTAGCATTTAGTTTCCTAGGAAAACCAATTCTCTTAGAGGCTTCCAAGATACCTGTTTGTTTATATTTGTTCAATATTGCCCAAACTGCTTTACGCTTCAGCTTCAAATTTTTGGCAATGTCGACTTGACGTTGACCATGTTTGTAAAACTAAATGATCTTAGTTTTCACATCGAAAGAAATTTCTGGACCACGCAGCATGGTGTTAAAATCACTCAACTTATTCCACAATACTTGATGAACAGAAACTAATCTTCTTCTGACACGAAACTGTACTAAACTAATGTTGAAAAGAATTTGTCTACATATTTTTGTCCATCATAAATAAATGTTATATTCAGACTTGTATTGTGTTCATTGCAGATAATGTAAAAACAAGGAATTTAGTTTTTCTACTAATAATGCATTTGTTTATGGAGCAATGAATTATGAATTCGTTTTCTAAAGGTATTTAGGTAAATACTATATCACTATATATCTAAAGGGTAACAAACCTTTTTTCCCAAGTTTAATGTCTCATGTTCATTTTAAAAGCGCTTATATATATATATGTTTTAAATATCCCCCCAATGATCGTGGAGGTACCTCCCGGCGGTTCTCGTAGACAGAGCCAGAATGTGTGCATGTTGAATGCTCACGTGTTCCCTCTCCAGAGTCCGTGTGGCGTCCCCCCCTTTCCCCCTATGGCCCCACGGTACCCAATGGGCGCTTAGGCATTAGGCCTTCGTGGGAGTTGGAGTATTAAAAAAAAAAAAAACGTTCTCATGCATTCCTTAAAACATACCCAAAAATAGTTTTCCTCAGTAGTGCTAACTGGTTTCTCTGGTAGATCAGCTCTTGGACCAGGAGATAAAACTATACCAGGCCAATATGGATGGCCTCGTACTTTAGCCCATACAAATTCATCTAGATTAAGATTGGGTGTTACTGCTTCCATAGTAGGTATTTGCTATTATTTATATTATAAACTCTTTTTTATTGCTGTTGCTTGAATTCAGCAAAAAAATCCGCTTTGATTCGCTCCCTCTCTGCCTTTGGCGGAAGAAGTGGCCTTAAACCTTTCTTCCTTCTGTCGGCTCTTATTGCGTGCTGGAATATGGGGGATAAAAAAAGTCGTAAAAGAATTTTGAATTCTTACCCAAAACGATTTGCAAATTCTGTAGTTTTCGATTTCGTCTTTGCAGTCTTCTTTATTGTAGTTCTTATCGCTGAAACATTTGAATGTTAGTTCTTGCTCCTTTAAGCAAGGATTCAGTTCTTCTATTTCTGAATTTCTATTAGTTCTCATTACAATATATCACAGAAAAGTACCAGAAAACCAAAAAGGATTTTCACTTCAGAACAATGTTTGTTTAATACGTCAGACTTTTTTTGCTTTTACATAACCCCAACCCCCAACCTTCTGTCATTTGCAGTGTTGCCGAACTGCAGGGCTAAAAAACGACAACATGTCAACTTGTTGTCTAGGTTGTTCCTAGTCTGCAAATATACTAAGTGACATATATGTAAATCCGAACATTCAGTTTAAATGGTTTTATTTTAATAAAATTTTTTATAAGTACTCAATGCAGCATAATAAGTAAATGATAAAAATTTCAAAATGATTGCACTGCTTTAAAGCCGTTTGACCTTTAATAATGTGTGGATGCACCCTGATGTGCTACGCATTCTCCAACGCGCCTAGGCATGCTTCTGATCAGGTGGTCAATGTCCTCCTGTGGTATCTCATTCCAGGCAACCACCAACTCCTCTCGAAGTGCTTCTAGAGTCTGAGGAGGACGTTGCAAATTGAGCAATCTCCTACCCATCATATCCCACACGTGCTCAATTGGGGATAAGTCGGGAGATCTTGGTGGCCATGGTAACAATGTGACATCATTATGTTGAAAGAAGTCTATTGTGACTCTTGCAACATGTGGTCGGGCATTATCTTGTTGGAAAGTTGGATCTGCCAGGGTGTCAAGATAGGGTAAAAGATGGGGTTCTAGAACTTCGTGGGTATAACGCTGCGCGTTCATGTTACCTCTGATGAAGATTAAAGGTGACCTGGAACCATGAGCTATAGCACCCCAAACCATAACTCCAACAGTGTGATGAACATGTCTTTCAACAAAAAACTGTGGATTCCTCCTTTCACCACGTCGCCTTCTAACCCTGGCACGACCATCGTGCATGCCTAAACAAAATCGAGACTCGTCACTAAAGACAATACTGTTCCATTCCTGATCCCAGAGTGACCGTTGTCTGCACCACTCAAGGCGATTACGTCGGTGTTCTCGAGTTAAAGGGAGGACCCAGTGTGGCCGGTATGAAAACAAGCCAAAACTTTTCATTCGTCGGTAAACACTTCGCATGCCAATAGGTCTTCCGTGTTCTGCAAACCATTCATTTGCAATGGACCTGATAGGGGAGAAACGGTCCCTTAAGGCCAATAATCTTAGGCGGCGATCTTCACGGTCTGTTGTTCTACGGCGGCGTCCAGTGCCCATTGCTATTTGCGTACGGCCTTCTCGAAGCCATGCCTGACAACACCTAACCACAGTGTCTACACTTCTTTGCACTCTAACTGCAATTGCCCGAAAAGAAAGTCCAGCTTCCCGAAGTCCCACTATACGGCCCCTATCAAACTCACTAAGTTGACGAAATCGTACAGGTCTCCGTACTCTAGGCATCGTAACCGATCGTAAAGGATGTCAAGAACCAAAATCCGCCAACGTTGATTCTTTAGTGCGGCTGAAATATTCATTTTTACAGCGTTAGTGAATTAAAAAAAAGCAGTATAAAAACCGGAATGTCCAACTGATAAGGCTGAAAATTTTTTCACTTGTTATTTACAGTAAGATAAATACATTCACCAACTTTTATTAAAATAAAACAATTTAAACTGGGTATTCGGATTTATATGTCACTTAGTATAGTACATTCCGCGTTTGCTCGCTATGATGAGCGTCTATCTAGGGATTAATGACTCAACGACACGACACGCTCAATTATCATGCTGCAAGCTGCTAGTTAGTTCCCATCATGTTTTGTTGGTTGCAGAATGCCGAGATAGTCTGTAGAGGTACTCTGAGAAGATGCGTGGTTCAGTACCAAAGTAGCAAGATGACATTTGGATGACTGTGTGCATTGGTCTGCATGTGTATAAAATCAGGAATATTTGTTATACATGCCTAACTATGCAACAGGCCCTGAAAATTCTTGCCGGATTTAACACACAAAAAGAGCCAGAGTTTTGTAGTTCTGGCCAACTGTTTTAAATTCATTTTCACGGTTAAACCACCTTATTTTAGATTTCTTCGACTTACCTATATACTTGCTTGTATCGTACTTACTACTATTCGTCATTTGTTTGTCTGGGCGGTCCGTAGGACCTTTGCCCATTAGTCACTGTCTAATGCACGTTAGTCGAATCTGTCAGTATTGGTTGCCCAGAAACCAGACAATGTCAAGGAAAAAGAGAAAGGGAAAGAGAAGAAAAGGACAAGAGCCAAGAAAAACAGATGTGTTTAGTTTAAGAGGAGATACCTAAGCTTTTTGACTTGGTACACGGATTAATTTTGAGGTGAACTAAACACATTTTTGATTCAATTTTGTTAGAGTGTAATTTTAAGTGTACTAAAAGTTCGCGCTAATTTTTTATTACAGTGCGAGCGGTGGCCTTGAATGTTTACGAACTTGCTCTACTGTGTAGTCCACTGAGTCGCGCAAGAGAGGGTTGCTGTGCGATTCCGACTATAACGTCGCTGCGCCTGAATTTTGACATAATCCCTCAAGTAAGGAATGTCAAGGTCCATGTGTAGTGTCTCGTTTGAGACATACCATGGAGCATTGCAAATTGTTCGCAAAGTTCTACTTTGCAGTACTTGAAGACTTTGCATATGTGTCTTGGCAAGAAAACACCAAGCCACACATGCATAAGTAATGGCTGGTCTAATAATCATTTTATATAGGCGAACTTTGTTTACCAAACTCAATTTGGAGGATATACATAACAAAGGATATAGTTGCCGAAACGCAATTTGGAATTTTGTTTTCAAGGCTGCTATATTTTTCTGCCAGGTCATGCCTTTATCAAGGGTGACACCGAGGTACTTGGCAGAATTTTTCCGTGGTACACGATACCTCTGCTGGAGGGCCGCGACGTTTTTTGTTATAATAATATACATACATAACAAATGATATAGTTGCCGAAACGCAATTTGGAATTTTGTTTTCAAGGCTGCTGTATGTTTCTGTCAGGTTATATCGTACTTGTTAGGAACTACAGCGACGAAGCGCTTTATATCAAAAATGACAGCTTTGACAAAATTTCTATGGGAATTGTGATTTTTGATACAAAGCGCTACAGATTCAGCCGAGGGTATCGGATGTTTAAAAGAAAAAAACTGATAAACGTTGCAGATTTTCGATACTTATTTAAAGTTTCAGAAACAGTTCCCAGTCAAACAGTGATTGCTGTTACAATTTATTTGACCGACTGAGCGGCATGAAAAATGTTGTGTTAGTGGGAAAACGGACCAGATGTCGAAAAGAATGCTAAAAGGCCACTCGAGCTTAAAAAGTGTCAGATCTGGCCAAATCGGGCCACCCTTGGCAACGCTGTATACTAAATAATATACAGTATCTCAACATGTGACGTCGTTACTAATGGAGCGTATAGATGGAGACTCTGCTCAAGCCGCTAATAAAAACTCCACGTTTCCATACAAAACATCTAGTTCAGAGTTCATCCACGCCTACTTCGGTAGGTCCTATGACTGCAAAATGCACTCATAAGAAACCAAACCAAATTTTGACTGGCCCCTGCGTGCTCCGGCACGTACGGATCAGGTTGAAAGGGGTTCTTCGGCCGGGTGGTCATTCTCCCCACAAAAAAAGAAAAATGTAATCAAAACAAAAGTCGGTATATCCAGAAATCTCAATCATCCATCTGTCCATTTTATTTCTACCTCTAGAATTTATTGAGTGTAGTGTGTGTATGTATTTATTTATGTGAATTCTGGTGATAATCTGATAATACACACTAAGAATGGAGATGACATTTTAGTCAAAAATATCGAAAATTAGCTGTTAGTGTTAGCTCGTTAGCTGTAATCGTGTAAACTGTAAAGGACAATAAAATCAATTTAGAAGCAGTGTTGCGTAGTTGCGTTGCCAGAAGTAGCGGAATTTTCAAGTTGTAGTAGCAGAAAGAGTTGAAATTATCTAAATATTATTCGGAAATAATCAGTGCGCTAATAGAACAGAAATATTTAATGAGCGACATGCGAGCAGTAACGTGCATCGAAAATATGTTCTAGAACTTGTAGTTAAATTTCGGAAAACTGTCAGTCGCCAATAAAAAACGCAACATTGAAAATCCCATAAGGAACGAAGCAATAGAAGTGAGGGTTTTAGGGCAAGTTTTTGTAGATCCTACGTTTTAGTACCCGCAAATTGGAGACTGTGTGTGGTGTTAGTCGACGTACTGTCCAACGGATTCTAAAGACCCATAGTTTTCATCCGTATAAAATTGACCTGGTACAAGAACCTAATGAAGACGATTTTGATCGGCGATTACAATTTTGTGAAGATATGAGTGAACGAATTATAAACGATGAACATTTCCTATTCAACACTTGCTTTTCCGACGAATGTTCCTTTTTCTTAAATGGCGTAGTAAATCGTCATAACTGCCGATATTGGTCCGATTCTAATCCCAGAATTTATCATGAGGTCATACACAGCAGCCACAAAAATTAAATGTTTGGGCTGGTATTTTTGGCGATCATTTAGTTGGTCCTTTTTTCTTACCTGGAAATTTGACCGGTGAAATGTAGTTGGAATTGCTGGAAGACGCCATAGATCCTGCATTAACAGCCATAATTGAAAATCAGAATGATCGGCGGTACATTGCGAATAGGTTGATGTTCCAACAGGCTCGTACCCCACCATATTACGCATTCCGTGTTCGACAATATTCAGATCAGACGTTTCCAGATCGATGGATTGGTAGAAGAGGTGCCATTGAATGGCCCCCAAGATCGCCCGATTTATCACCTTTGGATTTCTTTATGTGGGGTCATTTAAAAGCAAAATCTATGCTACTCAGCGAACATCATTAGAAGACCTGCGACAAAGAATTGTGAATGAGTGCCTTCAAATTACTTCTCAAATATTGCAAAATATGCGGCAACGTTTTGAGCAAAAGCTCTATTATTGCATGGTGGTCATTTTCAACATTTACTTGCCTAACGGGTAACAGTTCATTATTCATTTTTAAATTACTTTGCTGCCAAATGTATTAATCTCCACTAATGATGATGTATTAGTTTTATTTAAACTTTAAATCAATAAATCTTCAAAACTACTGAACTGAAGTAAATTAATTTTA